AACAGCAAATTAATTTTCAACAGCCTGGGCAAGTCTTTGCTGCCTAAACCACTTAAACTTCTGTTGGTGTCTCCCAGACTGTCTTCCTTATTCCTTTTGAGGGCCTCTTATCTACTGCTGTGGAACATAAAAATGTTACTGTATATTGGAATCATAAAACCAGGTCACAGGTGAGAGAGATTACAGCACGTGTTTTTTCAGTTATCCAGGGGAAGGTGGAATAGATAACCTGAGACTTAAACCACTGCAGACCTCCAGCTTCTGAACCATGGCAAAATTTGATTCAGGTTGGCCTTTTTTAGTTTGTCCCTGTTGGCTTGCAAGACATCTAAGTCAAGACTTCATGGGCTGTATCTGTGCTTTTTAGGTGATCAAAACAAATCCCAACCCAGGGCCCTGCTTTTTGTCCTTTGTGTGTCACTTTCTCGGTAATCATTCAGAAATTATACCTTATTCAGTGATGAGGATTAGGAGCATTATAATTGGAAAAGCCTGAGCCTTTCTATCACAGGACTGTCTGTGATCTTCCACGAGTTTCATGAGGCACCTGAGTGTCAAGGATAAAGAGCAAAATCAGCTGTTACTCGCTCCTGGAAAACGGTGATGGAATTTTTAACAGGATTCAATACTGCTTGGAGGATCCAGGGTCTTACCAGCATGATGGGAAAAGCTGGAGGCAATGTGCTTGCAGATTAGCAGATAGCAAAAGATGACTTGCCCTAGATAGATTTTAACCATCTGAAAAACCATGCAATGGTAAAGTTGCATCACTGCTGACTATGTTCCTGATGCTTTCCCAGGGTAAGGTGCTTATTCTCTGTCACTACTCAGAGGTAGATCAATGCAGAGAGCCTTCAGCTTCTGGTTTTGGATCCTCCCTCCTCCATGAGTAACTCCTGTGTTTACATCTTTTGCTCTTGCTTTCAGCTTTTGTAAAACTCGACAGAGACTTGACATTGAATTGTTCCAAAACTGCAGATCCAGAACTGACAGAAGCAGTGTTAAGTTCTTCACAGACTTAGTTTTGGCATCATCAAGCTGATGTGCCTGGAAGACAGGTGAGGTGGGTTGACCTTAGCTAGGCACCAGGTGCCAACCAAAGCTGTTCTGTCACTCCCCTTTCTCAGCTGGACAGGGGAGAGAAGAATATAACAACAGGCTCATGGGTTGAGATAAGGACAGGGAGATCACTCACCAGTTACCATCACAGGCAAAAGAGACTCACCTTGGGGAAAAAGTTGATTTAACTTATTACCAATCAAATCAGAGTAGGATAATGAGAAATAAAACCAACTCTTTAAAAGACCTTCCCCCCACCCCTCCCTTCTTCTTAGGCTCAACTCTACTCCCAGTTTTCTCTCCCTCCTCCCCCCAAGCAGCACAGGGGACAGGGAATATGGGGGTTGTGGTTGGTTCATCACACTTTCTGCTGCTCCTTCCTCCTCAGGGGGAGGGCTCCTCACATGCTTCGCTTGCTCCAGTGTGGGGTCCGCCCCATGGGAGACACAGTCCTCCATAACTTCTCCAACATGAGTCCTTCCCATGGGCTGCAGTTCTTCACAAACTGCTCTAGCATGGATCCCTTCCATGGGATGCAGTTCTTCAGGAACAGACTGCTCCAGCATGGGTCTCCCATGGGGTCACAAGTCCTGTCAGCAAACCTGCTCCAGTGTGGGCTCCTCTCTGCCTGGCTCCATGGGTCCTACCAGGAGCTTGCTCCAGTCTGGACTTCCCATGGGGTCACAGCCTCCTTCAGGTGCATCTGCCTACTCTGGCGTGGAGTCCTCTGTGAACTCCAGGTGGATATCTGTTCCACTGTTAACCTCCATGGGCTTCAGGGCGACAGCCTGCCTCACCATGGTCTTCACTGCAGGCTGCAGGGGAATCGCTGCTCTGGCTCCTGGAGCACCTCCTGCCCCTCCTTCTTTGCTGACCTTGGTGTCTGCAGAGTTGTTTCTCTCACATAGTCTCACTTCTCTCTCCTGGCTGCTGTTGTGCAGGGTTCCTCTCTCCTCCCCGCCCCCACTTCTTAAATATATTATCCCAGCGGCACTACCACAGTCACTGATGGCCTCGGCCTTGGCCAGCGGTGGGTCTGTCTTGCAGCCAGCTGGCATTGGCTGTATCGGACATAGGGGAAGGTTCTAGCAGCTTCTCACAGAAGCCACCCCTGTAACACACACACACACCCGCTACCAAAACCTTGCCACACAAACCAAATACCACAGGGTAAAGGAATGTATAGTTGTATCAGCTTGTGTTTCTTTCATGTTTTGTCCACAGTGGAAAACCCGTTTTTCTAGAAATACAAAACCAGGAAGTAGATTTGTGTTTTAATTACAGTTTTAATTCTACAAAATTTATTTTCCTTATTTGCCATGACTGCTGGTGGACTTTTTCCTGCTTGTCGTTGAGATATAGATAGATGCTCTACTCTAATTCCTGACTCTCATTCTCTGAAGGAATTAGGTATTTGAGACTCCCCTGTCTTGATGTGAGCTTCACAGAGTGTATTTGTTCAGCAATAGCTTTTTGATACGCTGCTTTTCTCATTTCTAGTTTTTAAAATTTGATTAAAAATGTGAATTTGAAGCTATGTTGCATTGGTAGTTGGACAGTTTTGTGTGTATGTGAATGTGTGGAGTAAAAAGTGCTATGATTTGTGCATACATCCATCACTACTGGTGTAGTTTTTTCTAAAGTATTAAATGCTCATAAAGAAGTTGTCATGTGAGAACTTGAGTAATCGAACACCTCAGTCTGCATATGCTTGTAGCTTCCATATGTGCCAATCTTCAGCAATGTTTAAATGGGAAAAAAAAAGGTCTGTTTATAGCTGCCATGGTAGAGTTTAATCTGGTAATTCTGAAGAAGTGAAAGTCAACAACTTAATGTTGAAAGGAGAGAAATCTGGCATGCCCAGATGCCTCAGTTAAAATACGCAAAATAGTAGAGGAAAGACATGGGGTAATTCACTTGTCCTTGAGCTACACGTCTAATTTTGTAGACAAATAAAGACTGTAAAGCTGCTTTAAAGAAGCCAACTTAACTTCCCATTACAGAAGATTTCAATCAAGTTGGGGAGCAGAGTTCTTGACCAGTGACATTACATGTCTTTAATTTTTAAATAATAAAAGTTAAAAAAGAAAAAAAAAAAGGCAAGATCTCTCAGTTACACTTGAAGTAAGGTCATGTACTTTATGTCATTCTGTCATTTGGACAAATTCTGCTTATCTTTTGGATAAATTGAAAATATTTTGTTGAGGCGAATTTACAGTTTTAGGAGAAAGTGCTAATGTCGTAAGAAGACAACTGGAACCTTCACCCTTCCCATTTTTGAGAAGCTAAATCTATGGTGGTTGTGTTTGGGGTTTTTTTCTTAAACTTTGAAGTCAAGAGGTGACCATCCTTTCTTTTCCTGTTCAGAATTTGAGGACTTTATAAGCTTTAATAGATTTTTGGTGAAATAATGAAAGTTGCCTGTTTAAAAAATAGGGAAAAAAATAAATTGACCTAATTAGGGATGCAGTAGGGAGGAAGTGAGTATTAAATACATAGATGAACATATTTGGCTCAGCAAATCTGCAGGTCCTCCCCCTGTAGACAGAGTGGGAGCCATATGCTAAGCTGTCAGTCATCCTGAGAATGGAGAGGAGGCTGGAGAAGCCCATGAAGAAATACAAATAAAGGGCCGTCACTATAAACTAGCCAGAAGTCAGAACTGATCTGTCAGCGATGCATTTGTTTAGATTGGGGTTTCTCAACTGTCTTGGGGCCAGATGAGAAGTGGAGAGAACTTCACATGATGGCTCGCACTGTAACACAGTGGTGACTGGGAAGCAGGATCCCTGTGTCCTGCTCCATTCGGGTGTCACTGACCAGGTTGGATGGAAGCCTGGCTTTTGTGATTGGTGAATATCACAATTAAACATGCTATCTCTTCTGTAGCTTTTTCTTAAAGTTGCAGCAGACTTGTTAAAAATACGTGATATTTGGGTATTAGTTGATGTAAAATGTATTTAAAGCTTTAGGGTCTTTATTTGCATGCATTACATTTACATTGGAGCTATATTTATAAAACGTACTGTAGCACTTAATGTTGGACTCTTCAGTTGGAAAATAATGATTTTTTTGTTTCCAGATTTTATTGGTAGGATCTGTTTAATTTTGAATTTTAATTGTTAAAACCTGCCATGCTGCTTTTTCTTATTTGAACAGAAATTCTGTTCTTGTTAAGAAAAAAATATTTTAAATGGATTTTCTTGTGTAAACCAATATAAAGTGATTAAAAGTGATAAGCTCTTCAAAAGAGAGTGTCTTACAGTATTTGAATAGCTTACATACTAATTGGTTTTTCAACTGTGTGCCTGGCTCACCTGTTACTTTTTGTTCATCAGCATGTTTTGCTACAAGGTAGTGTATCTTACTGTTTGTTTTTAGACTATTCCCTCTTGTGAGTTTTGCTATTTCTTTATGAAGTTTTCAGTAAGTTTCAGTCTGGTTTTTGAGTTCTGACATAAGCTTTTTATAAAACTTTATGATACTAGGTGGAGGAATGGTTTGCTTTTATCTTTCTGGTTTAAAATTTAAAAGTAATTTCTGTAAATTAATTTTGAAGTGTTTATTATTATAAAATTGAAAAGTGAGATCAGAGATTGTCTCATTGCATTTGTCCTTTATAATGGCATTTGTACTTTTACCCTTGAATGTTTTGATTTCTAGGTTATCAGTCTGTGGAACAATAACTTGCTGGTATGAAGCCGAAAAGGGATTCATTAATGGATTGTTGTTTTACATTTAAGAATATTTTTTAAAGCAAACTATTTAAATGAAAGAATGATCTGAATGTGTCTCAGATCTGCAGCATTAACTTCCAACTTGTTTTCAGTAGCATATAGTTTGAAGCTTTATGTAGAACAGCTGGTAAGCCTTTATAGATGATGTCATTAGTAATAAAGAGGAAAACTTTCACCTTTAACAAGATTTTGTCTTCTATATAGCTTGCCCAATTTAGGCAGCGGAAGGCGCAAACTGATGGTCAGAGTGGATCAAAGAAGCAGAAAAAGAAGAAGAAAACAGCAAACATCAAAGATGAAGAATCAATACAAGACGGGATTGGTACTGATCAATTTCGAGGTGATGAAACATCCACATGCAGCAGCCAAAGGGAGGTGGCCCCTACTGCTGACTTTGCTGTTATCAGGACTTTGTATAGTGGAGAATTTATCCAACACAGCCAGACTTACACCACTAAGGTAAGTTTGTCTCAGGCTGTAAGCAGTTACTTGGGTGGGGGCAAAATAGTCCATTAATTTTGAGAGTAGGAATAAAGGAATTATATGAGATTTTGGATATTATTTTCTTGCCTCCTCTGTCTGTCCTTAATATGTCCAGAGAGGGCACTTTCTACCTGTCTGCTGGCATCAAGTTTTCTGTGGTAGTTGGTATACTGTAGATCATGGAAAGTTTGGTGGTACTGCTGTACTCCCTAAATGGGAAAACATTCTTTTTGTTTTATTGCTTCATTTTATACATTCTGTTTTATTAAAAGTTTACAAGTTGCGGTGGATTTTTGATCACTGCAGCTATGGCTACAGCAGAATGTAAAACTAAATGTCTTTCTTGTATCCATAGTGTAATTTGACTTTCTGGTTAACGAGGAGGAGGAATCAATTTGGAAAACACTACTTAGAACTGGATGGCTTATGTGACTGATAAACAGATACTCTACTTTCACTACTTAATGAAATATAATCCTAATTGCAAGTGACTGAAAGTACCTGCTCCAGGAAGGTTGTAAGATGCCCCGTGTGATATACCCTGGCAGTCCAGTTCAGTTCTGAGTGGACATGAATTCACATAAAGTAATATGTTGCTCCAGATATGAGGGACAAGAGATACAGATGTTACTTACAGAATAGATTGTTCCACTCGTGAAAGCATTGCCTCTAAAAGGACGAGTACCATTCTGAACAAGTGTCCCAGCCCATATTCCCAGCTCTGTGCACACATGGATGCAGTATTTTCTGAAAAATGTAGTCTAGATGAATGCTCTGCATTACTGAGAAGTAATAGAGAAATGACACTTTTAAAAAATTCCTTGTATTTGTGTTTAAAAAAAAAAGGTTACCCTGGTGGAGGGGCCCAGAGACTAAATCACACATGCAAATAAAAACATCTACAGTAATTGATCCACTTATTTTACGATTTTAAGCCTACAGTATATCAGTACACTAGATATTTTGAACTTTATAGATACATCCCTTTAATATGTAGCTTTTCATACTTAGAAAGGTCATGTTAGGTCTTCAAAACTGTTTGTAGTAACTCAGTAAAACTGTCTGTTCCACTCATAGGTTTTCCTTGAGGAGGTAATAAATTTTTCTAAAGCTTATTTAGTACCAGAATGACTGTTTTCATAGGTGAAGACGAGACTTTTTTGCCTTCTAGGAAAAGAGAAAGGTGTACTTCATGAAATGCAGTGGGTCATCTACAGCTAAAGAGAGAGGACTGCTAGGGCAGAGAGCTGTTTCGAGGGAATCGCTTAAACTGTTGTCTTAACAATATTATAGTCTACATAAATACAGTAACTGTATGAAGAAACTTTCTTAACCAAATATATTTTGAAATACGTCATGACTGCATGTTACAGATGGACTCCACTGACATGCTTGCTCTTAGTCAGGATAAATCCTCTCCTGCAGTTGGAAAAACAGGGTAAAGTACAGAATCATAGAATAATTTAGGTTGGAAGGGACCTCCACGGTCATCTAGTTCAATCCTGTGCTCAAAGCAGGTCTAATTAGATCAGGTTGGTCCTGGTAGCCTATGTTGGCCTCTGAATGCTAAGTACAAGACATAGATGATTTTTAAAATGGAAAAAATATCTACGCTGCAGTTGCTAAAAATTGTGTATATATATTCTTGAGATTGGGTGTTTTTTCTGAGGTCTGCCTTATTCCCAGAGCGACTTATCTTATGTTTAAATAAATAAATATAGACGTGCATAGATGTTTTTCTTTGTTCTTAATGTAGCTTTAAAAGAATAAGCATGGTGATTAGTGTTTATTTGCAATTTGACTATCCTGAATTGCTTATGTCTTAGTGACTTTTAAGACAGTATTCACTTCCATCAAAAAAAAAGCTGCTTCCAGTTGGTAGAGCACTTTTCTTTGTTACATGGTGTCTATGGCCTGCTTATTCATGTTAAATAAGTAATTGGTATTTTGGAGTTGGAAGATGACTGCTAAATTCTCTATCTGTGCAGTATTAATAGAAGAGGAAAAATTCAGAAATAGTTTCAGTGAATCTCAGAACTTACTGTCTTTAGTCTTGCACGTGCAATGATTTGGACAAAGAGCCTGTATTACAGTAATTGGATTAGAGCTTGCTTATTTGAAGTGGCAGGCAATGTAATAGGCAGTTTCAGGCTAATCTCTGCAATGGAGAATTACAAACAGCTTCTTTGAGCTGTTTGCTTTTTCACCCAACATTAAATCTTCATAGGCTGCTATGTCAGGAAAGTAAGGCAAGATTACTGGATGCATTATGCAGGATTATTTTCTAGCTAAATTTTGATTCCACTGACTTGTGAATTCCACTGAATGAAGAAATATTTAGAATTGTTCTGTCTGTACTGCAAAATAGACTCAGAACATCTGAGTATACTGCCTGTCTCTAAAAAGCCTGACTGGGCTCTACTGTGGTAGTTGTGTGGATAGAAGTTTATCTCCCTGCAGTTTTTCTAGTATTGTTTTTTAGTCCCTTGTGGAATTAGCATGTCCAAATAAAAATAACAAATTCTCTTACTCAATATGAATAACAGAAAGTGGAGTAGAGATACTCCTCTGGGAGCTTATTCCCCATCTGAAGTTAGATGAGTTCCTTTTCAGAGAGGGCAAAGGTCTGTTCAGAGAATTACAAGTTATATTTTGCAGTCACCCCTTTCCTTCCCCCTCTGCTCTGTTCCTCCATCCCGGTGTAGTCCCTTGCATTACAGAAGAACTCTGGAAGAACTGTCATTGCTTTTGTCCTTATCCATTCCATTTTACCTTCTGTCTGAACTTATTTGTAATTTCTGTAAGGTTTTCCCTTCTCTGTCAGAGGAACAGTTTATTTACAAGATGTATTAGAGAAATGCCAGTTGGTATTTCTTGGTTAAAGTCTCTGGGTCTTAACTTGTTTCATGTTAAATGCCTTTTTTCTTGGGTCTTACAAAGAGAATAATATGTTGAGTTTTTGTCTTTATTCTATTGCACCTTGGTGTCATCTTGGTTTTGACATTTATAGTGTCCTTTTCCATGTAGAGGTAAAAGTAATCTAGAAGACATAGGCCAGGAAATAAATTAGATCGGTGACACTCTTTGGTTTAGGATTGCTTCTTTTTGTGACTTCCTACAATTAGAAATGGAAGAAAGCAAAAGCTACTTCCAAGCTAAATAATTGCTGAGATCACGTTCTCTGAGAAGTCTTGAAATGATGCATTGGAGCGGACTGCTTTACAAGAATGTACTAATGCTAGGAAAGCAAAAGAAATTAACCTGTGGCATGGTAAAATTGTCCTTGAGTCACCTGGGTAGTAAAAGCTATTATACAAAGCTTCTTAGAAAAGAAAAGTTCCAAGTTCTATGATGAAGAATACCTGCTAATTGACTAAGGTTGGATTAGTAACTCGTCTTTTGTTTTTCACAGGACAAATCTGTTTGGTAATAGTTTTAGAGTAGCTTAACTGTTTGCTCAAGTAGGTGGTAAAGTTTGTAGCTGCATGTTCATTGTTTCATTTCTGTAACTTGCTCCAGTTGTTAGTGCCTGAGATTTGACAGGCAAGGGAATAGAAACAGAGTAAGAGGAGACACCGGGTAGGGTTCCTGAGAACTAAGGGAGAAAAGTGAAAGAAATATGGAAACATAAGCAGTATGGAGAAACAGAGATAACACGTCAGTGAGAAACGGTGTAGGTGGCAAGGGAAGGTAAGGCATTCCTATGATAGAAGCATGAAAACAAAGAGCAACCAAAGGCTTTAACTAGAGAAGAGGTAATCTGGGATGTACAGTAAGATGGAGGATTTGAAAAAGAGGGGTGGATAAGTAAAATGTAGTAAGAATTAGCCCAGTCACTTCAGGTAATCTAGCATCCCTTGAAAAATGTTTTGAAATTGGTGAATGAAGATAAACAACTGTTTGGAAATGGTCCGTTCAACAGTAAAGTCAGTGCCACAACAGGATGTAATAGATTCTCAGCAGTGTGTGATTCTGAGTGAAGCCAGTGATCTTTCCATTCACTGTCTGGCCAGAAAATTGCCAGGATATCTTACCAATTTTCTTTGATGCATAAGGCAGCCTCTGGTATGATGCCTGCCTTTATCTCTGTAAATATTGATGTATAATAGATTTACTGTCACAGAAATTACCTGCATTGAAGAATGGTCTTTGCAGATTTACAGAGTATGTCACAGAATCATAGAATCATTCAGGTTGGAAAAGACCTTTGAGATCCAAGTCCAACCATCAACCCTACTCTACCAAGTACACCCCTAAACTGTATCTCCAGGCACCACATCTAAATGACCTTTAAACACATTAAGGGATGTCATTTTAGATTAAACATTTATAAGGCTGTATTACCAAACAATAGAAACTTAATTAAATGCTTAGGTTACCTTTGTTGATGATGTCTTCTGATGCAGGAAGTTTATACACTGAGGAGTGCGATACGTCTCTGCAGATTAAGATTTGGCAGTGGTTTATCTCCACTAAGATGTACTCTATTTAAATCTGATTGTAGTCAGTTGGTTTGGGTAGGGTAGTAAATTACCAGGGAATACATTCCTTTGAATTGAATGGTTTTTGGAACTAAGAAAGGCATGACAAAGCAGTATATAAGAATAGCACTTCATATTCAGAATGAATACAAATATTCTACAGGTATTAAAGACCCATAAAGTTCAGGATGACCTGAAGAGAGGGTTTCAGGACTGGGATTTTCGGTTTATGTTCTTTTTGCCTCCCTTGCTAGTCGCAGTCCTCTTTAGTCTTACTCAGGTTGTGATCATCTATGGATCACTAATGACCCATGTGAAACTGACCAAGCTAAAATAACTTGATTTTGCTTCTATCGCTGGCTAATACACCAATGCAGAATCTTGTAGTTACATTTTTGTAACAGCTTACACTTAGGTCATAAAGTCAATAATTTACTTCAGGTAGAATTCGTTTCCATGAATACTCGGTCTTGGTTCTTGCCATTTAATACTCACATCCATTGCAACTGGAGTAGTTCAGTATTGGATGTCTGTTCTTGCAAAATGTTTTATTGTCAGCTGTGAAAGTTTTCTAAAGAAACATAAAAATCACTTTTCAATTCTTGTGGCCAATTTCGTATATGAGTTCTGTTGTGAATCCTGTGATAATGCTGTATGTCCAGTGCCAAAGAACATGACTTCTGAGCAATGCTTTACTGCATACAGAAGGAAGTTACTCTGAAATGGACCTCCTGTGTTCCACAAGCTGATTACTTCCTTTTCTGTATCATTTTACAGTGTTTCCTCTGAAAAAAAGTTTACAGATGGAAGTGTTTTTAATTTTCTGAACATTTAAGTGTTATCATTAAAGGTACTGCCTGCACAGTTGATGGAAACAGTTGCCTATAATCTTTGAGATGTCTGTGCAGTGTATTTTAACTATCAACCACATTGTCAGTGAAGAAAATATTAAATAAGGAATTAAAACATCTTGCCGGAAGAGAATAGCTGTTTGTAGCAAGAAAATGCTGTGGGGCATAGGTGGTAGAATATATGCAAACTAACAGCTTGAAGTCAGAATGTAACAGTTTCAAATGCCATCAAGTATTGAGAGAACTGGTGAATACTTCATTGGCGTTACCCTGTCAAAAGATGATGTGTGGCCCACAGTGTGTGTATATATGTATTTTTTGAAGTATTTATTTTTAAACTGGACCCCCGTGGTTCGGACAGATGAGCTGTGTAAAACCTAATTACTTCTGTTGACCAGATAACAACCGAAGCATACAGAATGGATGGCTTAATAATGGAAGGAGCTGGATTTTGAAATAAGGTTGGTCAGGTCTCAGGAACAGAACGTGGCTGCTTGGACAGCAAGATGAGTGCCTGTAAAATATCGACTACTTGTAATGTCGTTGGATCTGATAGCAAGAGGATAGCATGAAGTCTTACAGTGTTGGAGTCCGGTGTGTGAGTTCGTAGGATTTAAGTTTTTTTAACTCATTTTTAGCAGGGTTTGGATGAACCCTTTAGCACAGAAGACAGATCCATTTAACTTGAGTTCATTTGGCCGTCTTTCTGTTTTTATCTTCAGTAAATCCCTTGGCAAAAATACTTGGCCTTAACAGCCAAAAAACTATCTAGATGCAGGATTGAAGGGGATATTTTAGAGAGATTATTTACGCTGCTAACAGATATTGCACACCTAAACTGATGGAGCACTGTATGGTTTCTGATAATTTTTTAAGAATACTCTAGTTTATTTTACTTTAGGTTGGTATCCAGAAAGGACCAGCAATATATATGAATTTATAAAAAAAGTCTTGTATCTGTCCAAATTACCATAAAAAATTAGAGAATTATTTTCAGTAATCACCTTGCTTTGGGAATTCATATTTTCTCTCTCTAGCCTAAACTTCACTCTACAAGTTCTTTGCCTTTGACTGTGATTATCTACTGGGTTTGAGTTTACCCCAGGATCTAAACATTAATTTATCATCTTTCTTAGAAACAAGGGTCTACTTACATCGTTCAAAAGCATTACAAGGAAAATCTATATAAGAAGACAAGACTACTTGTGCTTGTTTTTTTGCACGTTGGAGAAGTGCCTGTATATAGAGCACACTACAGAAAGAATTTAGAGTGGTTGGATCTAATTAAATATGTCCATTTATAGGAATACCTCTGAGCCTCTATGAGAATACTTCTAATCTTCCCTTGTGAAGTTTTCTGAATTGGAACAAACAATGAAAAATTGTAGGATGATATGGCCATACATTTATTATCTGCCTTGTGAAAATAAATAACAATGTGATTATTTTTTTTCCCTGATTTTATTCCTTCCAGAGGGCTTTGTCTTAGACCAAGGACATAGACTACAAACAATATGTAAAAATTTTGTGTGTGTATATGCATATATATACAAATATACCTTTATAAAGTATCAATAAAAATATGTATTTAAATAAAAAATGAAATACTGTTAAGTACTAATTGTGTATTCCACAGCAAAACCACTTTTGTCACCCTGTAATTTTAAAACATAATTTTGATTTCTGTTTCAGTTTGTGGCTTGTTTTTAAGGTGGACCTTTTTAATTTTTAAAATTATATGCACTGTATGAATTTTAGCTTCCATATTCTTATTTAAGTTAGTTTTGTGCACTCTGTACATAAAATAATACCCTTCTTTTAGGTTGATTACTTTGTGGAGCAACATATTGGATTCAAAATATGTAGAATCAGTGATGCTGGGACTGTAAAAACTGCAGAGCTCCAATAGGTCTGCGTGGCAGATTTCTTTTTTAAAAATACAAGAAACAACATAATTGATATTCCAAATTTTAGTTATGTCTGCTGATGCAAAACTATGTTCCTTTGAAAATAAGCCTGACAGAATTCAGTGCAAAATGGTGAGGGATTTAATGTGAGGCTGACTAACATGTTAAGTGAATTTTGAAAAGGCCTATTATTCATTTTTGCTGAAGTAGTTTTAGCTCAATTATTTTTCTAGTTCAGAAGGCTATTTACTTATTCTCCAATACTGTACCTTATATAGATAATTTCAATATTTTGCATATTTTCCTACTAACATCTTGATTCTCAAACCTGATACATTGTATGTAGTTCACCAAGATACTCCTGTATTTAATTCAGGCATCTTCCATGGCATGTTCATGCTCAGTTTAAGGTTTTGTTCCTTTAATAGCTCTAATTCATTAGATCACAAGATTTGAGTCTTTGTTCTTGTCCTTCCTGATTACTCTTACCTTTCCTTGGTTTCCATGGAAGCTGAAGGAGAAGATGAGTGTTTGTTTTTAAAATTCTAGTCAACATAAGTCTTGCATGTATGAAAATGACATTCTGTATTCAATTATGTTCTTAAGCCGGGAAAGTTCCTAATAGGTAAAATTGATCTATCAGAGAAAAGTCCTTTTCTTGATACTACTTAGTTCTTTTTAAAAAAAAAAAAAAAAACAAACCCCAAAAAATTAGAAGTTACACTTCCAAAATATTATTTTGTACCTATAGATTGTATTTTCATTAGAAGACTTTGTCATGTAATTGTGTTTCCATGATCATAGTTGAACAGCAAAGTACCTTTGTCTTTTTTAAAGCTGGGATTTCAAGGAAGTGAAGGGGCCTTCGCTTTGCATGCATTTTAATCAAATTCATCTATATCTCAATATTTTCAAAGACTTATCTACATTCTCAGAAACAGATGGAAAATATCTTGTTTAATATATGTAGAGTGCCATCATTGTAAATATTTTAATATTTTATTTTAGCCAGAAAGTGAAAATTCCACCACAGTGGAAGATTACAGTTCTGAGGTAAGACCGAAGTAATGCTTTTCTTAACTTTTCTTGCAACTTTTTCTTTTACATGCTTACTGTAATGTTGTGCATTGTTTTTCAAAAAGAGAAGGAAAGAAAGAGCGGATGAGATATTATAGACAAAGCTGTTGTATGTCATTACTGGTATGATTAATGTACCATTAAAGCAAGAATTATGTCAACTACATGATGGGATGGCCACTGTAATCACTAGTGCAGTAGATACATGAACTGTTGTAATAGTGTCATCATGATGATTGTATTAATGCTTCGTGTTGCCATTGGAGTTGTGGCTGTGCGTAAATTCTACTAGTTTTTTGTGGGAAACTATTTAACAAGTTGACGATGTTTTAATGAGTTCCAAAGTGGCCATTGCACAGCAACTGGCTGTGCGTCAGTCTCCTGGTGGTAGGTGGTGAGTGTTTGCCTTTGCATCACTTGTTGTTTGAGGGTTTGTTTTGTTTTCTGTCACTTACTAAGCTGTCTTTATCTCAACCCATAAGGTTTTCTTGCTTTTGCCCTTCCAGTTCTCTCCTCAATTCCACTGGTGGGGGAGTGAGCAAGTGACTGGTGAGGGGGTTTAGCTGCTGGGCAGGGTCAACCCACCACACATGGACATCTACTACTCATCTGTGTCACATTGAAGGGTAGTGTAGCATATTTTGAACTTTTGTCTTGCCAAATAAAAGCTTGTTATGTTTGTAAGGAGTAAATTACCTCATGCAGAAATGTGGCTCGAGAACAGACTTGCAAGAAATAGCCATGGAAAATACGAATAAATATTTTCTAGTTTAAAAAATTCATTTTTCATGTTTTAAACAATTGCTTTCTGTAGTGACAATCTGGGTTTTGTTTTGCAGTTCTCTGTGCTAAATACTTCTGCAAAACGCACCCCAGAATCTTAAGCTTGGCAACAAGTAAGAGGGGATGAAGTAATCAAATGAGTCTCCATTGCTGAAGTAAACTTTGTGTAGAACACTTTGTTCCTCTCTTGATTTAGACTTTGTAAAAGAAGATCACTATGCCTTAGTACCCTACTTGTTTGTAAATTCTTCCCTTCTCTGCAATAGCTCCTGTCAATCTCTTCACCTTCCCTTGCTCATCCCTTTTTTCCTCTTGCTTGGTTTCTTAGATAGCTCTTAGAGGCTTTTCAGGCTGTTTCTATTCTTCCTTTTCCTTCCTCAGTCATTCTGAAGCCCAGTTTCTTTCCCAGCCTTTCCAACTTCATCCAAGCATTGTTTTTCCTTCCTTCTTTTAATGGCTTTTTCTTTTCCCCTCCCTCTCCCTTGAAAACCTTCTCCTTTAGGAGGACCCCAACATATGAAGAGGAAATAATGTTCAGTTCAACTTTTCCTAGATGAAAGCAGTCATTTTTTCTTTCCAACCTCTATAATCAAGTCTCATCTTCCTTCATAGAATTTGTCTCGGCCTTTTTAGTTGAACTCTTTTCCTATCCCACTCTTCCGCGGTTTGACTCTTTCTCTTCCACTTCTTCCTCCTGTCTTTGTTTATAAGCACCCTCACTTCTTCTCTTGGGCGTAAAGAGAAAATCTTACTTCACATTCATTATTGGCTTCTTTCAAATACTGAATACTGAACCATATGGACCCTTGGTCTGGTCAGTTGTGATTGTTCTTATGGTGTGTGTTTTTGTGATGTGAAGTAAAAAGAAAAAAATGAATTTGAGACTGGCACTTTTGGAATTGAAGATTCCAGTCCAGCTGCTGGGGAGTGCTGTAAGTGGAAGAAAGAAAAAATACTTTTATGGAGGGATAGGTGCAAGGGTTTAAAGCAAACTCTACCTGGGGAAAAAATATCAGTTTCAAGATTTAGTATTTTTAATGGATAAAACATGGTTTATTTTGCCCAGGGAATTGAAGTAGCAAAGAACAAAAGGAATCTGAGTTTGCTTTATATATGTAAGGTGATAGGGCAGCATGTGCACACCGTTTGCATTGAGAGTGTAGCAAATACACTTTTGAACAACTGCTATGACCTTGCTGCACCTTTTTAGAATATGCATTTTCGTGGTATGTGACTACTGTTACATGGAATGTGCAATGTGTGAAGAATGAACCCTTGAAAACAGTTGACAACGGTATCGATGTTCATGTAGTTTTACAAGTGAGAGGTATTACATATATAAGGAAATACGAGTATCGCTTCTGAGGTTATAGGAAGCAGTGTTGGAGACTGATTGCAAAAGCTCAAGAAAACACATCTTTGCATGAAAAGATAGTTTCTATATTCTATCTGGCATAATGCCTCATGACAATTGTGGATAGGGTCTGATTTTTAGTGTTTTGTTGTTAGCATCAGTTGAATTCAAAGCTCTCATTTAAAAATAAAATTTAACTTTACCATGCTTCATTCTTTGAAGATTTCTGTAGGTGCCTACAGGGAGCAGTTTTTCAGATACTGAAGGCAATAGAATTACAGCCAGACTGCCTTCTGAATGTGCCTTTTAAAAAATTGCAGGTTTCCTCAAGAATGCAATGACAGATACATTTCTAGCACCACTTATTCTCATTCCTGCAAAAAGCCTTTTTACCTCCCTGGGAGTTATTTGGTAAGGCAACATAAAACTTATCAATAGTAACATGATACTGGATTTGGTGAAGAACAAACTCAAGTGGTGAGAGTTGCTGGCTTAATAAGCTCTTTTTAATTCCAGTTCATTATAATTGCTTGGTATCTGCAATGAGGCAACAACATGTTTAGAAATGCATATATTTTAGGAATGGAATTTTCAATATGTTTCATGTCAGCTGTCATGTGACTTTTAATAATAAAAGCTCTACTTACATTCATGGCCACCTGGAAAATAAAGCCTTTTCAGTTGAAGATAAGAATAAGTTAGATTTTGTCTGTAACAGCATAATTATGAAATTGTATGAAATCTTGTGCTTACCTGTTTTTCAGAAACATGACCTCCTTTTTGGAATGCTAAGTAACCACACATTTGTAGAAACATAGGCCTGTATTTCTTAATCTTTTCCCTTATTTTTTAGAAGATTTTTATTTTTTAGGTTTTTTTGTCAGAAATTGTGGTGAAATCGAGGCTGTCATGCTTCAAAGTGCAATAGGTCATATATAATTTGTTCTGTTGTAGTTGGTAAAGTAAGTCAGATGTTTTTAATTCTTCAGCCCTTTTTGAGGAATTGGGTAAAATTGAGTATTTTCCTCTTTAGGAAATTTATCAGACGCACAATTATAACCCAATACAGTTGCCTAAGCAAAGTTGAAGGAATCAGTGAATGTTTATGTAGGAATTCTTGTCTTGAAGGAATTTTATTGTAAATACAGTCGCTTGTTCAGTTTTGTTCTGCCATCTCTCTGAATACCAGCACTTTCAAAGGTAGTAGCCAAATTGAAGACTGATAAATCCTTCCTATGACCAGCTTGCCATTTTAAAAAATACTCTGTTTGAGCGAGGTTTATTATATTATTTTATAATTAATTTAAATTAAATTATAATGGTGATTAGCTATTTAAGCTTTAGGCCTAAACTCAGAACTAAGGAAAATTAGGCTTTTTTCCAACAGTTAGGATTTTGGGGGTTTTTATAACTGTGTAAATTTGCCCCCATATACTTTCCATATGCCTCGATTTTTACGGTATCGCTGAAAGACAATTCCACCTGATTTTTTTCCTTTTACTGACTCTCTTCCAAATTTGCCAAGTGTACCTCTGAAAAGATGGTTAATGTGAACTCTATGAAGTTCTTTTTTTTAATTTTTTTTTCTGAAATGTTAATGAAATTCTATCCCTCAACCTTAACCACTATGTAAGTTCTGTATTAATAGCATGTTCTGTTGCATGCTATTCATATATCGAAAAGTATATTAAGCCATGATGTTTTAAAAAGCTATGAACTTGTTATTCTCCAGAACTTATTAACCTTATTTATATTGTATGATTGTAATTATTTTGATCGCAAACTGAAAATTGCTTTTTATGGACTATTCAAAAAACCAAACAAATTAATTTTTGCAGTTGCCCTAATTGCTAATTTTAGTGAAGTTTCATATAGTCAATTGTGACATAACTAGAGAATTGAGGAGATGCTAACAACATTGACAGTGTTGGAGGTCTAGTCATTAGTTTTTGTGAAGGAATCGGATGTCCAAAATGTAAGAGAAAAGGGGGGGGAATGAAAACAGAAAGTAAAATGGTTAATTCATTCCAGATACTTCTGTATATTTCTATTACCAAATCAAAGCACTTTTTAAATCGGAAGTCTGCTTGCCAGCCTGTAATAGGTTTTATTGTTTTCATGCATTAAGGTGTGTTCCACATTTTTCAATGTTTGAACAGTATGTATTGATTTATGCTGAGCATGAATTTTCTCTTTACGAAGGGAAATCTCTCTAGTACTGGCATTAATGTTGTAAGTAGTTATACTTTATATATAATTACTGCTATTTCTGAGGTACAATTTCAGGTCTTCCAAGGTCTAAGGAACATTAAAAGGGGTACAGTAATTTCATAAATTTAATCCTGACCTCTGGTGGTAATTGGCTTGAATAGCTGCCTTAGTTCAGTGGTGGAATTGGTTTTCCTTGTGCTTCTCTGGAAGATGCCTTTTGTTTGTCTTATACATATGTATTTACTGATGCAATATAAACTATACCTTTATTTTTAGCCAGTAGACTACAAATATTATTTTACTTTATATTAGTAAATACTATTTCTGTGAATTATTTTGAAAAGACAAGCAAGAAAGAAAAATCAGTGAGAACGTTCTTTAAGAGACTTCCATGACCTTCAGTTTTCTCATGTCTTTCGTTCACCAAAATAGTTGCTTCTGGATAGCTAATGTGTTGTAAAAATACATTTTTTTCTTACTTCATGGTTATCTGTTTATGCAATTGAGTGCAGATCTCTTGCTACTCCTTGCTTCCGTTGTCTTAAAATGTTATGTGGTTTAATGTAGTTTCTTTAAATGTGTTTGGGGTATATAACTAAGTGTATCATAAGGCATTGAGGCATGAGGACATTTCAGCATTAACGGTGAACTGCAAAGCGTTAAATGAAGAAATATAAGAATCTACGTAAGTAGTGTTTACAAGCTTGCAGAAGATCTCTGAGTGGGAAA